TGTCATTAATGATAAAAGCAACAGTAGCTTTATCATTTTCTTATAGACACCATAAATAAGGGGACACTACAAAGGTAGGTTGCACAAAGCGTATCGTTAGCAATACCACGTCCACGGCCACGGGACGGAAACGGTACGGAAGCGGGAAATCATTCGGCGACCGGATCCGTTGAGACGCCGAGCCGAAACTACCCGCAACCCTCCACCATTCAATTAATCTCGACAAAAAGCGATAAATACATTTTCGAGCGGTCTTTGTTTTTAAGAAAAATGCAGTCTTTGAGAATTGAGATAATTTTCGGGAGCCGCCGCCGGCAGTTGAGTCATTACCTTTAGTCTGAGGAAAATTGTGGATACTTTGAAGATAATAGTGGTTCTAAGGACCGGCGCCGTGGTTAACTCACAAACGAGTCTGTTGGGATAAACTTTGGAGGATATCAACATCATTAAATTGACGAATTTGAAGAGAAAGGGTTGTGTTCTTTCTGTATTTGAACTGCCGCAAGTATTTCCTCTTTAATATGTGCCACAGGTAGGTATTCAAACTTTACATTTACACCAACCATTGCGTAAAACAATAAATGAGTAGGTAAGTATACTAATTTCTGTTTTACTTATGAACCTTCTTTCATTTTTATTCGTAGACGCCTGTAAATAACAAAGCCATAAACACTTATAAGTCTAGGCTTTTAAAAGGTTTCCTCTTAGCGCAAGGCACTGCCCGCCTCGTCCGGAGTAGGTAGACCGGACCATCCAACCGGCGAGACTCGACCGCTCCGTCAGATTTAGATCTCGTCCGGCCGGACGCTGAGCCGAGTCATGGCGGCATTAATTTCTTCGCAAACACCACTACTATTTTGTTCATATTTTATTGCCTCTTAAACTTGTTCCCTAGGACAATTCAATAAAGAGGTTGTTCTGGGCGTTCTCCGATAACTAACTATGTAATTCTTGCAGTATTTCTAGCCAATGTATCGTGGTTCAAATGTTACAATAATTTAGCAGTCTACTTCATCCACTAAATAATAATTGCAACTACGGCATCTGAATCATATTACTAAAATTGATAATGCAGATAGATAGATAGATACTCGTTTAAATATTTTGAAAAAATGAATACAATAAATTACCAAAGTCATTAAAATGGTCAGATAAAAATAAAAGAAGGGCGACAAACTGAATCTCCTATGAATTACACGTAGTAGTGGTTTCCGGCTCGGAAGTGAACATTTTTCATCATTTACTCGGCAATAAGCGGTTTAGTTTTTACCTCGTCTGCAGCGAACAATATATTTCTGTTAATAGTTTATTAGACACTCGACTTATAGTGCCGCGTAATAGATTTTTAGATGAAATTAAACTGCGCAACGTATTATGAACGGCAGTTTCATTTTGCTTGAAAAGAACAACATTGTTTTGATCTATCTAGGTTCTAGGCTTTTCAGTATAAACTCAAGATTCTATATTCTGAAGCAACAATTTTGGGATCATAACAGATTTTTAAGTCAATTAATTGGTATATCTCAATCGCAAGTGATTTTCAATTTATGCGTGTACAGACAGAGGTACCTACAGCTAGTTGCTTCACCTGTCTGTTTCGTTCACTTTCCTTAATTTCGCTTCATGGTACTTGCGCTACCTTCCTCTACCTCAATCCTATGCTAAAATATATTCCAAAACAATAAGCATCTCTAAACACCACAAAATCCGCTCAAATCAAAGTTCACCCAACTCTAAACATAGAAATTCGAAACACACCAATGATAGTGCTTTTGAGAGTTCCCTGCACTACACAAAACAAGAATAGCTCCCTGAATGCAATCTTAAAATAATACGACACATAAATGTTATTTACGATGTTACGATGCGCGAGAAAAAACGACGACAGCGACATCTACGCACCGACAAACTTACATTTTGTATTCAATTGGTCGCGAAGTACGTAAAGTGTTTCTATCTTTTAGCAAGGAACTTAATTATAACCCAGTTTATCTTAGCATCAGCGGCAACTTGCCAGGAGTTTCGTGCATTCTGCCGCGGGGTCAGCGACCTGGGAATTGTGAATTAAATTCGCGTCGGATATTTTGGTTTGCGAATTATCTAAAGTTGGGTCAATGCTCACAGATAATGGGGTGTATTGAACGCTTTGTTGAGGAACAGTGACAGTATTGAATCACAATTTCAATTCGATTAAGTCTTTTGAACTCGATTTGGTAAGCACTTACTTAAAATGTGCCTCCGTCTAATGCCCTTTCACAACAAATAAGCCTTATTAGGATCTCATTTTAAGGATGGAAGGAAATCCTTTAACGATCCAATTTATAGAATAATTGATATCTCTAAATTATAATTAATTACATTTTCAAAAAATTGGACTCCATGAAATAGACAAAATATACCATCTAACTATGTTGTACAACTGAGATGTCATTCTTAAAATCCTCACGTACCTACTTTCTGAAAGCTTAATCTGATTTCATTGACCCAGTTCAAAATAAATCGAGTCTAGCAAGAACACATTATAGCAACAATAATAGTGTTTCTAATGTTTCGGCATTCCCGGTGCACTCGTGCCAATATTAAAGACGTTCTAAGAAAAACAAACATTAAAATGTCACCTCAAATTCTCTTTGAAAGTATTAAAAGACCGGTGTTTAGTACAAATTGTAGATAGATGCTCTAGAGATGTGGTGCTGGAGGAAGATGCTTAGTGTATCGTGGACTGAGTTCCGCACCAACGTCGGGGCTCCGGCTCGACGTGCAGGAGAAGGAACGGGGTGGTTTTTAGTCAGTAAGAGTCTGACACTCCCTCCCGCCTCACCCAGGCGGGAGCAGTCATTCGATGATTTTCCCCCCTTAAAAAAAAAAATCCATACTCCGAGAACTCGGCATCACAAAGCGCCTATCAACCATAGTACTGACGCGCATACTGCAGTACTTTGGCCATGTCTCCCGCCGTGATAACAACTGCATAGAGCGGCTGGTCGTTCAGGGGAAAGTAGAGGGAACCAGATCACGTGGCAGCTCACCTATGCGCTGAACTGATCAAGTCAAATCGGCAACGGGAGACCCAGTGTCAGACTGCACCAGACAATCCACAAACAGAGAGAGATGGCGGGACATCGTGAGGAAAGTTGCATCGGCCACCAACAGCCGGCGTACGGCCGCCTCAACGTGACCACGACCGCTCTGCCAAGAGCGAAACGACAGAGAAGAAGAAGATTTTATCCGAAAATAAAAATGATTTTATTTTCTAACAAGGTTGGATAGTTGTGCTGGCCCGGAGGTTTAAAACAAAAACCGCTTGTCATGCATGAGTGCGGGTTTGAAACTTACCAACGGTAAGTACCAATGTGACTTTTTCCGAGTTATATGTGCTTTCTAAGAATTTCTAGACACCACTGACAAACGGTCAAGGAAAACATCGTTCGAAACCTGGGCTTATAATTTCTAATTATAAGTTTGTAATCGCCGCCCACCTCAAATACCCTTCTGATGTACTAGGTACAATAATAGGACACGTGTCTTCTTAACCTGACCTGAAGAATTGGGATGATGACGTGGAATGAAAATTTAAAATATAATTAGTCCGTAAGGTAATAAAAAAATATTAGACACGTATTTTTTTATTTTGTCGTATAACAAAACAATACTTAGATAAAACGAATCAAAGTTTAGGAGTGGGGGCTAAAACGTTATTTCTACGTATAAAATGTACATAGAAGTGACGTCACGCGACATTTGAAATCAATATATCGTCGAAAGTATTCTTTTCTGTAAGAAAAAAAGTACGTGTCTAATGATTTAAAATAATCTACCAGACGGGCATTAAAATAAAAATTAGGCATCTACCCTATTGCTAAACTTTTATCATCGTCCATCAAACAAAATATTATCTTTCTCAAAACATCGTTAGTTAATATTAGCAGTAACAATGTGAATGGAGTAGTAATCGCACGGTTTACGAGATAATGCCCACTAATGAGGACAAACAAACAGACGCTTCTAACTCCGTGAAAGATAACATTCCCGGTGGAAACTTAATTAATATCTAATTTATAGGCATTTCTTGTTATTCTCCATTGTTTTGTGATCACTAATAGAATGGAAGAAAGACAGGCTTTAATGAAACGAAGCTTAAAAAATTAAAATAATGTTATAAGTTGTCCGAAAGTCTATGGTGTTGAGACAGATGTTTGTGCCAAAGATACGGTGGTACTAACCGTTAAATTTAAACTTTGGATATACGCTATCCAGTCTAGATCTTATGCATGCGTGCCATAAATACAATAGCAATGAGAAGGATGACCAGGGGCTGTGCCTGCCCAGTATCAAAACATTTTGTTGGTACGAGGAACAAGTAGTAATTATTTTATCTAATTATAGGGAATGTGTCTGTTTTATGGAATATACCGGGTAAACGAGCATACGGACCTGATGGTAAGCAATTGGCACCACATATGGACACCCAAAACACCAGAGGTGTTGCAAGTTCGTTACCGGCCTTTTAGGGATTAAAAATGTTAGTATTGTTGGGGATTCGAGGATTGGGGAGATTGGGAAGAAGGTAACAACGTAGGAAAAAAAGTGTTGTTTCACATCGGTTTTTTGTGATGCTGTGGTATCACTCCGATCGAGCAGGCTCATTCGCGCTGAAGCATGGCTCTCCCTAAACATAAAAAAGTGTCTAGATTAATCTTCTCTCTACTAAGGTAAGAGAGTAACAAGACCAACAACGACATTTCTAATGAAACATTAAGAAAAACTAACATAAAATTAGCTTATCTTCAAAATCCACAACATCAACAAAAGGGGTCATTACTAAATGACATAATCAGGAGCAGCTATTAACAAACAAATATATTTTCATCGACCCAAAAATCCATTGAGCGCCAGATTCCCTGCACCTTACGAAACAAAGCTTAGGTTTATTTCCGTATAGCCGTATAGATGCGACAAAATGTGTGTTCCATTAACGAGGCATTCCAGTGATTCCAGTGTTGTGTGAAGCGTGGAGAGATGTGGACGTGCGCGGGAGTTCTTGCGCTAGTCGCGTGCGCGTGCGCCGTAACGCGCGACCAGTTCTACCCTCACGGGCAGGGGTTGGACCAGAACCTGCCGCGCGGGAGCGAGGTCCCCGCCCCCGAAGTACCACTAAAAGTTCCCATCAAGTTCTATGGAGAGAGTTACGATACCATATACGTGAGTAGCTTATTGTTTTAGTTATTGTGAATATATTTATAGAGCCTGTTATTGTATGCTTAATTTATAGAATTGTGAGAATCCTGGGTCAGTATACTAAGGGGTACATTTGAGCGGGGTTTAATTTATACCCCTCTAGCCCTCTAGTAATTTAAAGATTGACGTGTAACTAAAAAATAATACCATCACGCGATACATTTTATTCCCCACAACTTAGTCTTAGTGCAATGGTAAAAAAGCTATTTTCGTATTTAGTTTTACATGCATTCAAAGTAATTGATCTAATGGCTCATTGCATACTCCCGACCTAATTCCATAGAGCTGGTGCACGCTTGACCAGTTTCCTCGTTTTAAATGGCATTAACTGACTATATAGGGCTTCTTTTCGCTTCAGTTCGTATTCACGAACGTTTCAGTGACCATTGAGCACCGATTATTACATAGTAACTTAATCACATCATAAGATTTTTGGCTTGGGATATTACTACTTAGGAAGCCTTCAATTCTTGAATAGTATAAGACCGATAATTTCTATTATGTGTATAAGTTGCACTAGATCTTTCTGTGATTTTTCTTAAGGCTGGTTTTCCAACGCCCGATAAATTAAAACCGCCTCATTGACGAGTGGTCGCAAGTGCGACTGCCGAGCAACGGGTCTCGGGTTCGACCTGGGGTCGGGCAAAGTATTCCTGGGTTTTAAAAAAAATCTCAGTTGTAGCACGGAGTCTGAATAGTAGTAATAGTCATAGGTACATAACTCCACGCCTATCTCCGATAGGGGTAGGCAGAGACTATAGATCATCAATTGTTACGATTCTTACATACCTCTTTCGCTTCATCAACAGTCATCAGTCTTTTCATGTTCGTTCATCGTCGGTCAAGGTATGTCTTTGAAATGTCAACAATTTCAGACACTAACTATAACTGTCCCTGAATCCCCAACGATCCTCAAACTCCTAATCTCCAAAAGGCCGGTAACACACTTGTAACGCCTCTGGTGTTCCAGGTGTCCATGGGCGTCGCCGATTGCTTACCATCGGGTGATCCGTCTGCTCGTTTACCGGTTTATGCCATAAAAAAGTGACTGAGTTTTACTTAGTTTTTATTTTATTCTCTACAGTATATACCACCAGAAGTCGAACTAATTGTCCAGAATTTAAGTAGATACTTAGATTGGCTAGATCATCTTTAGCACCATCCGTCTGGGTCCTAATTACAAACACTCTGGCCTCAATTGGTGCATCCACGCGATCCTATAGTTACTTGATGGTGATGTTGACAACCTCTAAATCATTAAGGACAAAAGCGTTAGAATTTTAGATGGTAGATGATGTTTAATTGGTGCAATTGAGGGATCCCTTCGGCAAATATAATTTATCTCGAAACTTGATTGGTCAAAAAGCCAGCTATTAAAAATGAATACGAATTTATAATAAAATATAACTACAGACGTTGCAGGGCGTAGATACGCCCTTTATTAATATTTTTTTTATTCAAATAAACAATTATTTTTTTACTTATATTGTAGCAGACCCCAGCGGAACGTAATTACAATATTCTCCAATTGATATCTAACTGTTTAAGTATAGAAATTAATACCTATTTAAGTAACTACCTAATACATACCACAGCTCTATCATTTTCAAAGATATGTCTGTAATATATGAAGCCCCATGTTCACACGAAACATCCAAATTAGACCAACGACCTTAATCAATGCGTACCAAAATCAATGACAATTACTGGCTACAAAGTAATATTGTGTCAATTACTTTTATTGTTCACTTGCCTGTTGAATTAACAGCAACAGTTCAAAATGTCACAATTCATTATGTACATATTATTTGATTTAATTTGCGTAATTTCGTTGCCTGGTGCCATGGCAATTGGTTAAAAATTCTGTTAGAAATTGAGGAGTTTTTAAGACATTGTGGAGTTTTTTTACCGAAGACGCATGGCGGAATACTTTAACCTAAATTCGTTGGCTTTTTTTTAAGGGGGGAAAATCATCGAATTACTTCTCCCGTCTGGGTGAGGCGGGAGGGAGTGTCAAACTCTTACTGACTAAAAACCACCCCGTTCCTACTCCTGCACGTCGAGCCGGAGCCCCGGCAACCCGTTAGGTTCTCCGCGACAAATTCGTTGGCTGGGGTCTTCAAACTGAAACACAGATTCTATGAATCTATTAACCTGATCTTGTTACTTGTTTAAAGGGTAAAATTGCTTTAGGTCACAAGAAAACGCCTTTAATTCCGATTCTAAGCTATCAGTCGTCATCTTACCACATATGGGGTTGACGATTTTGTTTAAAGATAATGCTGATATTGTGCAACAAAACATTAATCTGGATGAATTCCTTTCTTCTGGATTTTTAATTATAATTTTGCATTCACTTGGTTTCATGGCTTTTATTCCTCCTTACACACTATAAAATGATCTCCAATTTACCATTGGAAAAAATATTTTATGCATAGGTATATTACAAACGTAGGTAGTTCCAAAAAATATTTGCAAAAAAAATGCAGCGAGATAATGTATATCGATGCATTGTTTGCATATTGCAAGTTGGGACGACCCGAGCGGACGGAAGCGCACGTGGGTGTCTGACGATAGCAGCGGTCACTGAACGACATTTTTTATTTATTTAATCCCAATACCTATGCACACGTAATCTTAGAAAAAAAACATTATTGTTTTGAATGTACAAACATTTTCAAAATCTTAAAATTCAAATTAAACGCTATTTTACAACCTAAGTTTCTATGAAAGAAATATAAAAGCATATCCCTTATTTTTTTAAAGAACAATAACCCTTTTCTTGTAATAAGCGTCGTTAATTTTACACAACTGTCCTTTCGTTATAATTTTTAAGAACAGTTATCGTAACAATTTAAGCAAGAGTCGAGACCTTTCGTAGAATTTACCTAAATATGTGATACCACATTATCGCCCACCGGGTCACAGCCGTGTTTATATTATATGCCTAATCGCATTAGATAAACCCGCACTATGTATTACAATGATGAAAAGAAGTACTAAAGTTATAGAAAATAGTCCGGCACGTGTTTCTATGACACAGATCAATAAGGTAACCTTTGTACCTATTCGCAGGTAAATAACTATGGAGTGCTGACCTTCAGAGCGGACATCTCATCGTTCCTCAACATTGAGTTTCCGCTGCCGTACCCGTCAATCGCGGCGTTTTACTCAAACATCGACACAACGCAAGTGGGCGCTGTCTATTATAGAGAAACTAACGAACCGCACGTGCTCTCCAAAGCAGAAGAGAGCGTACAGAACAACTTCCACGATTACTACGACTTCAAACCAACCAGCGTGTTCATTGCCACGTGGGAAGATGTCACTTACTCATCCAGCGGACAATCAAGTGACAAGCGAAATCGATTCCAAGCAGCCATTATAAACAATGGCACCGAAAGTTTCGTCGAATTCTTATACCCCGAGCGAGACATACAATGGATCCAGAAAGATGCCCAAGTACTAACCTTGCCAGACGCCAAGGCTCAAGCAGGATTCGTGTCCGAAGATGGTCGTCTGTACATTCTCCGTGGATCAGGCAGTCATCAAATAAGAAACATTGTTGCGTAAGTATATTTATTTTCATACCTACATACATATCAAACTGTTTTGCAATGAATTAATTTTTAAACATTTCTTTCTAGTTGGTCAAATGTTCACGAACCAGGCCGATATGTTTTCCGTATCGGAAATATTACACCTGAAAGTAATATTGCTGTCCCAGATCAATACAATCAAAACGAGGTCGAAATCGAAGAGGAAACAAAAACCTGCGCACAGAGCGGACCCAGCGTATGTCATCTAAGTGCAAGATGTGTAGACTATCAAGCTGGAATTTGTTGCCAGTGCAATGATGGATACTACGGAAATGGAAAATCATGCATTAAAGATGATGTGCCCCTTAGAGTTCATGGCAAAATTAACGGCATTATAAACAATGTCAACCTCAATGACGTAGACATACAGTCATATGTAGTCGTAGCCGACGGCAGAGCATACACAGCGCTGTCCCTCATACCGAGTGAAATCGGGAGCAGCTTGCAGTTACTACATGTACTAGGCGGTGTCGTCGGCTGGCTCTTTGCCAAGCCCTCGGGGTCCGCCAAAAACGGTTACCAACTCACAGGCTCCTCGTTTAACCACACTGCAGACATATGGTTCCCAGCTACCGGCGACAGAGTTACGGTCAATCAGGAGTATCTCGGACATGACGTGTTCGATCAAATCACTTTGGAAATAGATGTCAGGGGCTCGTTGCCAGCAATCGTACCAGGAACTAAACTAGACATTACCGACTACGATGAACAATATAGTCTCGTAGAACCAGGTCTTATTCGATCTGAATCTAGTAGAACGTTTACAAACAAGGTTACAGGAGAAAAATACGTACAGAAAGTATCGCAAACTTTCTCATTCAATTCTTGTCGATTTGCGCCTGCTTCAGTGGAAGATAATACGCCATCAACTTTAAAAATCAGCAAAAATTACTTAGGGTATGAACCCAGAGAAAACATAGTCCGGTATGGATTAAGTAATAAGATATTTCCCCTCGGCGAAGAAGACCCTTGTATTCAAGGTCGAAACACTTGTGGACCTCACAGTTCCTGTGTAGTTCAAGGAACCTCCTTTGCTTGCATCTGCAACCCTGGTTTTACAAACACTTATGACAACACGTGTGTTGATATCGACGAATGTGGAATTGGCACACATAACTGTGATAGCAACGCTGACTGCAACAACCACGACGGTGGCTTCCAGTGTAGATGCCGCCAAGGATTTATTGGAAATGGCATACAATGCAATCGGTTGCCCACGTGCCAAGACAAGAAGTGTGATGCTAACGCCCGATGCATAGAAAACCCCGGTGGTGAACCCATATGCGAATGTAATCCTGGGTACAATGGAGACGGACAGTACTGCCAGCCAAACTACCAGAACTCTTGTGGCAACTGTTCACCTTATGCTTCATGTATATTCATTGACAACAACTACATATGTAGATGCAATGCAGGTTACTCTGGTGATGGATACAATTGTCGACAAGATGTTCGTGAAGATGAGACTACTCGTACACCACAGACTAATGAAAACAATGAGGCTGACTACAACAATACCGTTGTCTTACCAAACTGTGACTTATTCAGTTGCACATGCCCCGAAGGCTACACCGAGTACAGAGATGCCTATAACAATCAACTTTGTAGAATCGTGAACTATTACCAGACATCAGATAATAATAACTACCAGGAACCTACTGACCCTTACTACCAGCCGCCAACAGAGTCGTATTATCAAACCTCAACAGAACCACGCTACCCAACGTCGACAGAGTCCGAGCAATCTCAATCACCTGAACACAACTATCAGCAAACTTTGGACAAAAACTATCCATCGCCACCACCAAATGAATATCAACCTGTTGATAACTATCCCTATCCTACACAAAGTAACTATCAACAAGGAGCAGAACACAGCTCTGAATTACCTCCTCAAAATAATAACCAATCGTATACTGGAGTCGAGTATCAAATCCCGGACAACGACCCATTGAGTAAGGCAAATTCCTTTGTCTAGTATTTATATAATAATATTTGTTTAAATGTTTAACTAACCAAGACTATTTTATTTTCAGTTAGATGTGAGGAGGATACTGACTGTCCACCAAATGCCGTCTGCTCCTACTTATCTCCGGACGCTTCAGGCGACTGGGAAGGAAAACATTGCGTCTGTCCAGAAGGTTACGAAGGCGACGCATTCGAATGTATCGAAAAAACTGGACCTAACTGTGCGTGTGGACCTAACGCCCGTTGCATCACCACCCGTGGAGACGAATTCATCTGCGTGTGTGACCTCGGGTATCATGGCGATGGCTACTCCTGCCGACCGAACTTCAGTTGTAAGAACAACTCTGACTGTGAATACAACGCAGAATGTCGACTCGACTCCAAGAGCAACGAATACATCTGTCAATGTCTTAACGGCTACATCAAAGACCAGAACGACGCATGCATTCCTGATGCACAGCTCTGCAATGGAGCATGGTGCGCTGAACACGCCTCCTGTCTTTATGATAACGAATTAGACCTAAACTATTGTCATTGTGACGAGGGATACTCTGGCGATGGCATTTCTCAGTGCGTGCCCGAGGGTCACACGTGCGACGTCGCCAATGACTGCAACGTGAACGCAATATGCACACCTATGGATAACACATATCAGTGTATTTGTAGAGATGGGTTCAATGGTGATGGATACACTTGTATCCCTGAAGCCACATGCAGGAACAACCCCAACATGTGCGACTTACACGCGTCTTGTATGAAGAGGCACGATGCATACGTCTGTGAGTGCAACGCTGGGTACAACGGAAATGGCAGCCACTGCCAGTTGAACCCAAGGCAAGCTGGAAACTTCTTGGTGGCAAGTGACGGAGCTTCCATCTACAGAGTACCATTCAAAGTTACTGGAAGAGATTTCGCGACGCCATTCAACAGTGGCATTTCGCAGATTGCTGTAGGTATAGATGTTGATTGCGAAGTCGGTCGAATATATTGGGGTGACGTTGTTAGTTATGCCATTAAAACTGCTGCTTATGACGGAAGCGACTACGGGCTGTTTTTGACAGAAGGTAAGTGTAGGAACTACAATGCTGCTCCGAAGTGGCTTCTACGTATGGATCATACCAATATTCATTATCTGATATAAATAAACTTCTTTCTAGGTATCAAATCACCTGAAGGTATTGCAGTAGACTGGTCATCAAGGAACATATTCTGGACCGACTCTAGGAAACTGACGATCGAAGTAGCAAACTTGGACACGAAAGCGAGAAAAGTATTGTTCGCTATTGACAAAATTTCAAACCCTAGAGGCATTGCTGTGCATCCAGGCAGAGGGTAAGAAATAGCTATTTACTTCTGAATAAAATCCTTACTGACAACGCAATATAAGCAAAAAGCGGGCTATTTGACTTAAGATTTTACGCTAACATAATTCGCTAGCAAAAGTTGGTCGTATTCAAAAAAAATGAACCACATCTAGACAATTATTCACAATCTTAACTAATTATCTTTTATATTCACAGAAAGATCTTCTGGTCCGACTGGAAGCGCACGAACCCTAAGATTGAATGGGCGAGCATGGACGGCTCACAACGAGGGGTCTTCTTGGATAAGACTGACGTAGCCTTACCAAACTCATTGGCCATCGATTGGGCGAGAGACAGGCTATGCTACGCTGATGCTGGACGAGCGAGCATAGAGTGCGTCACCATTGACAACCAAGAGAGGGAAACCATTGCTACCAACTGTTCCTACCCCTTCGGTCTTGCTATCCATGGCAACAAATTCTACTGGACTGATTGGAAAACGTAAGTAAAAGTTATATGAGAGATGTAACTAACTACATAAACATAATAATATTATGCGATTATTTGGGCAGGAATCAGTGATATTGCGAAAAGTATATACCTACTTACCCAAGTGATATAACAAAGATCTAGAACTCCAACCTAGACCTTCAATAACAACCTAGAGTTAAAATGTATCTCTAACTAATGAAATTCTAATATCAATTTAAACCCTTCACACGTTAAACCTATACCTCTAAACATTACAGGTTGAGAATCGAATCGTACGACTTGGAAACGCAGACACGAAGCGACGTCCCCATAGCAACCGCATCGAGGAGACTGTATGGAGTGGCTGTGGCGCCAGACTCCTGTCCACCAGCCCAGAGTGTCTGTTTCTATAGAAACGGGGGCTGTGGACCAGACCAGCTTTGTCTGCCAGACGGCAACAACGGCAGAACATGTGCTGACGCAGACAAAGTCCTTAGCAGGCGTTAGATAGGTTAAGTCGAAATTTAAGATAAAACTAAACACACTAAACACAGATTTATTAAATGAAATCTGTTTTACAGTAAAGTTAGTCAAACAAACCGGTATTGCATTTAATCAAAACTATGCTCAGTAATTGTAACTTACAGAAAAAAAATTGTGGATGACGACACCACACTGAATAGTTGAGAACAAATTATCTTCAATATACTATATCGTTTATACTTAATGTATGTTGGAATGGAGTCCCTGACATATCATTGAGAAATGTTCAAAAAGATTTTGATTTGTCAGGGAAAAGTTGCTTGATACCACTTAACTACCAACTCAGGTTATATCCCCTCTATGACCTTTTGCATTTTATTTTAAATTGAATAAGAAAATATTAGTAATCTCTGACCAAAGAAAAATATTATTAAAAGGATTGCATTTCAGTTTAATACTTTCAAAACCTACAGTACTAGGAAATTATGAAACATCACTACTACGAATCTAAGTCAAACGTGTATTACATGCAATATTGTAAGAACTGATAACGGTTGCATAATATCATAGTTAACTGTTATAAGGCACTAGTTTAATAGTTACCGTCTATACTAACAGCAACTAACTACGAATGTCTAACCACTAAACATACGTCCCGCCTAATTTTAACCTTCAAATTATAAATAAATTATCATTTTGAAACACAACAACTTTCTAAGACAGGGATAAGCAAATAATACTTACATAATAAACAATATACCCAATTTATTTTGTTCCTACTATAACCAAAGTGTTAGAATAAAATAATAAATATAAATACTCTTAATAAGATCTTTAATGTACTTCAATCAATGTAATTTATTAATGCCAAATCAATAAAGTTATTTATTTATACAAACAGTTTTTTATTGGTCTCATTCCACACTAGTGTAATAAAAAATAATTATTGGAATAAACTTTATCTTATACGAGAGTAATAATAATTATGTAAAATACACTAAAAACTTTACCTATGATTTTAAAGTTATTTATTCTAGATAATATAAGTCCTTTGATGTATATGTCTAGTCACAATTATGGGAATGGTTTAGCTAATCTCAATCCGTTAGCGTTGGAAGCAAAGTTACATAGAGTAAGCACTTACATCGTAAGAAAACGAAATAATGTTAAAAAAATATCTTTGTGACTATATCAAATAAAATCAATTTAAGCAAAATAGTGGAAGTAAATGACACAATCGTAACTAGACATGTGAATCATGGAAAAGGTACGAGATTACTGGTCTATCCCCACAAGTCCTCAGTGCGACCGAACTTAAATACAAGTGAACCGGCAAAGATAAAGGCGTTCTGCATGAACAGGCTCACACCGGGCCATGCTGACTTGGTGCTTCCTAGAAACAAAATAAAATGTTTTTTATGAGAATTGATTATGGTTTATAGTAACGGTAAGTAATATGACCATTAAACGTGCCAAATTTATCTACGAGACATTTTCTTTATTGTCATGACTAATCAATTAAATTTTTTATATTTATCTATCTTGAGTATTTGGCCGGACAAGGAAATTAAATTTGGTAATATCAGAAACATTTCTACTTTTTCGTTCTTAAAAAAACACGTTCTCACAAATTAGGATTTTCTTGTGTCGTGGGTGCGTTTACAAACATGCAAGTTCACATACACAATGACACCCAGACCCGAAACAACAATTTGTGGATCACACAAAGTGTTGTTCCGTGCGGAAATCAAACCCGCGACACGTTGCACGGCAGCCGGTTGCCCAGCCACCGCACCAATCATGCAGTCATAAATAATAAAATAAAATCATAATAACTATACAGGTATTAC